AAGGTGCTTGGGAGTGAACGGTTTCTTGAAAGGTTGTTGCCAAATAAGGAAATTTTCGATTGGAAATTGATTTGCGGGAAAGAGTTTTTTTTTTTGAATTAATGAAATTATAATAATAAGTTTTTATATTGTTATATAAATTTTAAAATTAACATATTATTAAAATCCATAAATTCTTGATGCCATTAATATTATTATTTGAAGCAATTAATTAAATTACTATTAAAATGTATAAAATAATAGAGTTATAATATAATTATTTCTAAGAATTTTAAAATTAAATTAATAACAAAATATTTAACTGCATATATATTTTAAGGATTAAATAAAACATATAAAAAGTTTAATATTTTCATATAAATATAACAATATTATATTATATAATTGTTATTATTATTACAAATTGATTTAATTATTATTAAATTAAATTTAAAATAACTTGGCATCTAGAACTTCAAAAATATTAAAAGTAATATCAAAGTAATATTAAAATAATTCTAATTTATAATAAATTTAATATACAGTATGAATCATAGTTTATTTAAATTTTACACTATTTCAAAGTAATTATTAAGAGCATTATTAATCACGGAGCATAGCCCAGGCTTACACACTAATCCAATAAAATACTTGTAAAATCAGATTGACCAAAAAAACCTTCATCTAAAACAAGAATTAATTCGGATTATACAAAAAGGCGGGACAAATACTATACTGCTATAAATACATCGTTTAATTTTATGCTGAAATTAATTAAAAGTATTATTAAGGTCAAGGGTAAACATCAAATATTAGAAAAAAATTTTTTTCGATTTTATAATTTCGTTACTTTATTTTTATTGCATAACAATTTCCGGTAATTTACGGTAGGGGTGTGTAATATATCTTTTTTAAAAATATTTTTTCTCAATGCATGTTAGAATTTATAGTATAAATAGTCACAAATTGACGTTAAAAACGATTCTACTGTCATAGGTGGGATAAATGAGATGTTGAAGATAAAGAATAACCGGGACAATAAAAAATCATTATTAATAAAGTTTGATAAAATTCTACGTTTTTTGTACAAAGACTTATCCTAAGTAAATAGCGAAGAGCAGACATACCTAGCTACTGTATTGTGTGACGTATCGTAACGAAATCTGCAGACAAGTGACAGATTCGCCGTTTCCCATTCTAACGCCAGTGAGGCGTGATGCGTGATGCGAATAAAATAATCTTATATTCTTGTCGACTGCTTTTATATCAATACGATGACAGCTTCTATGGTCTGTTAGTTTCACGTCATGTCCATTTGTCAACATGAAAGTTTACAATGCTTATACTAAAGTGTAATTTAATCGCGCATTGATCCCATTCTGCGATTAAAAAAATAAATTTTTTTTTTTCTATTGAAATGTAAATTTTTATTTATTTTATTTTATTTTTTGGTGCTAGTTTGAAAAATTCTAATGTGTACAAATAATGCAATTATTATATTATATAAAAGAGATTTAAAAGTATATATACACTCGGTGATCAAAAGAAAAATCCATGCAGATGATCGATTGTCCTTTCGGTCAATACAGTACCATTTATATTGGTAACTTCAATTGAAATTTCAACTTGGACCCAACTACTATAGGACCAGCAATCAACCCAATAAACATAAGATACATGATTAGAAACAAAATTCCATAAGTCCAAATCATGCGTTTTCTTCGTCGCTTCTGTTTTTGTGAGAATATTGGATCCCTAATTCGATTGCTCGTTTTCAGCCAAAACAACATGGTGGAATGACATCTATCGATCCAAGGTATCAAACATATAGGTGCCAGTATGAATAGGATGATGTGACCCAGTATAAAGTCGGTCGCGAAAAGCGACATTTCAACTATTTTACAGATGTATTCTCGGAAAGGTTGTGTAAATGATGAACAACCCAGCCCGCGACCGTACCATTTTCCTGTCCACCATGCTCGATTCGTCTCGTCATGCTTAAATTCGCGTGTCAAGAACAATACGATCAAAAGTTTGAAAATGAATCGTTGTATTGCGACCAACGCAATCACACCGAGAACAGCGTCGGAAAAGTTCCATGCATTGATGAACCATAGGAGCTCGAAAACTACAATCAAGTTGAGAACTGACCAGGCGTGTGCGATCGCGGCAATCATAGATCCGAACTTGGTGAAACATTGATTTATTATTGGACCGATGAAGAAGGAGATGAAGAAAAGAGCCGCCAACATGACCGCGTTTAACAAAACTGGCATGAACGATATACCACAAACACGGAGGATTGCACTGATCCCATCTTTAGATTTGTCCGCATTCGTTGACGGATAAGTTTTGACAAAGGCAAACGCCAGGACGCAGAGTGCTGCCGATATGAAAGGAAAGAGAATCTCTGATGTGAATATCACAACGAAACTTGGACGAGAAATGTCATTAATCGATTTCTCCGATGGATGGCCCGACCGTCTACGTTTATAACCGGTGATCATCGTCCTGGACATACGGCAAAACGAAATCCAAGAGCTTGCGTGAGTCTTTGAATTCCCTCGTGACATCCACCTCAAAAATTCCCGATAGTCAATGATGAAGTCCTTGAAAGAAAACTGGTGTGGGTTGAACAAGAACGGAGACATTGACAGGGCAACAACTGACAACCAAAAGTAGCCCAGATGTGGTAGTTGTATGGTCATGGTTACAAAGAGCAATATCAAAACGATCCTCACGCCAAAATAGATACTCGGACAGGTGAAACGTGCATACAATGTTGAAAATGGGATACGAGCGGTGGCAACCCCACGACCACTGCCAATGTAACGAGCACCACCAAAACTAAGATTCGTGGTGATGCTGTGAGAATAAATCTGTGTTATAAAGACCTCAAAGAAGGGCGACAATGATATCATGTGCTTCCCAAGACGGATGGTGCTACGCAACAATCCTCTCTCTGCAAACTCCTGAAGGAACAACGGCAAGAATGCTATCATGAACACGACGACGATGGAGACGATGGAACGCTTGATCCAATCAAACACGGGGTTAAGGTCAGTACATCCCGGAGGACTGAGCTCAGCATTCGGATCGGGATTGTAAATGCACAACGTCAAGGTGGATGCCATCACGCCAATAAACATCATGCCGAGCACAAACAATTGTACCGACAACATGATAAAAATATTGTTCACGTGAAATCCGGGATGTGCATAATAGAAGGTTAAGAAGCGATCCAAGGGAAGCTGCGTTCCGAGGTAATAATATTCACGGGAAAGCATCTGTTCGCCCATACCGGTTCCAATCTTAGTGATGAAGTGAAGGATGGATCCGAACCCGAGGTCACGACCTTTACCACATTGATAGTATTCCGCGTGCTTGATGCGACCGCCACGATTGAATGCGTTAATGCCGGCGTAAATATCTTCGTTAAGGTGCAAGCCTTTTTGTGCTTTTGATATACCTACGATGGGGTCGAGGTTAGTGTGTGTGTGAAACACGATTCGTTAAGTCAATACGAGTACAAATCTGCATGGCACTTACCACCACGGGTCGTCATAAATATGGCATTCAAGAAATCGGGATGCCCATAATGCAACCTTCCACCTATTTGGGCCATGATCCTTTGAGTCAATGTGCCGAAAGTTTGCTCTTTGGCGGCAGCCACATCACCGAGAACACCATAGTTCTCTGAAAAAATATACTCTCGAGCCCCCACAATTGCAACAGGTTCTTTTTGTGATCGCTCGGCGTCCGGCGAGTACGGTGAGGTTGTCGGCATATCATATTGCTCAAATTCTCTGAGAATACTGCGAATCTTCAAACACTCTTCGAGGTAGTTGTCTTGGTTGGCGTCCACCAACTGCAGGTATTCACCACGACAAAAGATGATGGCGTGATTTTGATTGTCGGACTTGCCGTCCCCGAGGATCGGGTTGCCGGGAAGCTGGATACGGTACTTTGGTTTCCTCTTTCCTTCAGCCGTGAGTTCACAATGACCGTCGATCAACACCGAGAAGACCTTCGGTTCTTCCCCCTCGTTCTCAGCCGGAAGTTCATCAATATAAGCGATCAGAAGATCCGGGTAGGTTTGCAACAGGAACTCCACATTTTCCCGCTCTTCGTCGTTGAAATCGTTGAATCGTTGCATGGATACCACAAACTTAAATTTACTGCGGGCCATCGAAGAGATCTTTTCCTTAAACTTTTCTTGATCGTTTGCACAAACGGATGCAATCTCTGGATTCTCCACGTGATACAAAAGTTTGATTGCCTTCGAATAATTCATGAAACCGGAAACCGTGCGATACAACGTCTGAGATCGAAGCGACGCCCATATGCGCGTACGCGTGGTATATTCCGGTGCCGAAGATTTGAAACCCACAGAATAGAAAGCGAGATCACTCATTTTTTTCTCTTTCGCTTCTTTCAACGGGTTCTCCTCAAACTGATTTTCGACCGGCGCATTATTCCTCTCGATCAGGATTTTGGTATCCTTGACAAAATTATCCCATTCCTCTGGGTGCAACTGCTTCAGGTATTCTAGCAGGGTAACCCTGGTGCTCTTATCCTTTTCGCGAATGATCTCTCGGAGGGACAGGAGGACCTTCTCCGAATAGTGAGGAGTCAAGACCGTAAAAGTTGGCATGTTTTGAATTGGTAATGGATCCGGTATTGGAGTTGACAGACTTTGTGAGAAGAATGATATGCGACGTTCCGCTTCACCCATCGACGGGAAGAAATGATCAGAGTTATGAGCCACAAAGAACGTGGGTGGTTTCAGCGTGAACTTTCCATACTCGGGTGGACTCTGATCGTAATTTATTTATGAAAAGTTTCAGTGTGAGAAATCTTCAATTTTTTTTTTTCAATCATTAAATATTCAAAACAGAAAGGCAAACCTGTTGGTATAATAGCTTTTGCACGTTTTCGATAGGTAAAAAATGCTTACGATACAGTAACTTTTGCACATTTTCGATGGACAAGAAATGTTCACGATACATGGAAATAACGATCGCATTCCAAATTTGCGACACGAGGATCTTTGGTCGAACTTCGATATTTGTGGCATCCAGAATCTTTGCGTAAATTCTCTTGGGCAACATGGTATAGATATTTTTCCAAGGAGTCCAGATGGAAATGCCAAGGTAGAATGAACGAATCACCGAAAAAATGGTGTACCAAATGACGTACCACAGGTAGGTGTCCAAGAAGAAAAGAATAAGGTCCACGATAATCATGAACACCATAGTTATCACGGGCAAGTAGGAACAAATTATTTTGCTGACGAGCTTGTTTCCACATTCTATTGACCTACTGTCGGCCATTGCCTTCAAAGGATCTTTGAATGAGAGCGACAAGAAGAAGTAAGATTCGACAAACTTGCATCCAAAGACACAAAGCCAGAGACCAATTGAGGTAGCTCGGTCTCTGTTATTAAGCTCGGGATAATTTGCGGTAAATGTTTTGAAAGCACGATATTTTTGGGAATTTTTTGGTAGCCCACCGAACAACCTTGAACTTGGTGTGATGGAAAATGTGAGGGTGGTCAACAAGGAGATGATGAATTGAACGATTCCGATAATCAAGGATATTTGACCAGTACGTGCTTTCATATAGATATAATAAGTGGGAGCAGTGTTGAAAATCAAGATCAGGATCAAAAGCATAAGCCGTTTTACCAACATCGACACATTGTCCCTCTTCAGAGGAACGAAGAAGAATTCGCAAATGCACCCAATTATCATGAACAAAGTCGCCACTGTTCCACCGAGAGCAACCACCGACAATTGAACAGCAGGTTCGGTGTCACCCTTTTTCGTGTATAGGAAAGTGGCATTGAACGCGGTATAATACCAAAAGATCGCAACGTGGAGGATCCATACGCGATTGAAATTAACGGCAAGATGAAGCCACGTGCGCTTCTCTTTGTAGGTCTTTTCAAAAGCATGATTCCAATCTACTTGACCAAGCTTTTGATAACGCTGACCTTTGTTCAGGGTCATAAGACTTGTCTTGTCCTTTAAGGCAATACGTTCTATCCTCTCGGGATACCAAAACAGTTCGTTGATATCGTCATAACCTATCGTTTCAGCGTGATCCTTTTCCCTTTTTATCAAACCCCCGTCGAACGATTTATACCCTTGATCGCGAATGTACCGGTAGAGCGGGGTGACGACCTCCCGTAGGTATTCACCTTCGGGAACCGGTTGGTCCATTTCCATGTATTCTGGGCTTCTCGTGTAGTCATCAGCAAGCTTAAAGATGAAACACAAGCATTCGGAGGTGAAACGAACTTGCGCGGCCTCTCCCCACAACAAAAGCCATAAGGCGAGTTGACGCACGCGATCTTGATGGGACATGGCATTCATGCGACGAATCCATTGCTCTTTTAGATCACCATTGTCTTGACTTGGTAAATCGCTTACGCTGTCGTTGCTTTCATCATCATCCAGGTCCATGCGAGTGGCAAAATACCACTTGTAATAGTTCGCCTGCTCTCCACCGATATAATCAGCATGAATGGTCAGCAGGGCCTGAGAAGGAGACATTCGAGAGGCCCGAGAATCTAGCATGCACATGAGAAGGTCGAAGATGTTGCGCATACTCTGTTTCTGAAATCCAAACTTGTCAACGAGCTCATTGAAAATGACCTCGATCTCTTCCTTTGACACTGGAGCTTGACGATCACCTAAACCCCACGAGGCGTAAACGCTGTCATCTTTAGGTTCGTGTGGATATGCCAGATTGATATTATCGCCATCTTGGCTGAACACCGAGGAAGTGTATGTCGAAGAGTCATATGGATTCTTTTTACCCGGAGAATTTGGAAAAGAGTCGAGTGAAGGCACACGATAACGGCTTTCATAATCCAGGTTCATGCTGTAAATAAAAGAATCTGGATCTGTTTCCGAACCGTTACGACCCTTTCCTTTTCTGTGATTATTATTGGGATAGAAAGAAGGCGGACGTGGTGGTGGTTGACGAGGATCTTTGAAACCCAAATTTTCATGAGATGACTATTTTCTATTCAAGAAAAAAATAAGAAAATGAAGTTTACCATGGTACGCTGACGATTTGTCTGTGTCTTCCTCTTCCGTTTCACTGTCCTCGTAATACCCTATCAAACTGTTTATATGATAATAGTCCTGTTCATCGAGTGAATCACGCCTAATTGACAGGCGTGGATTACCTATATGTGATATAATCGAATCACCATAATAGTCATAACGGTTACGACTATGAGAAGCCGGTGGTATGTTAGGCATAACTATAGAAGGAATTCTTGGTCGTAATTTTTGACTTGGTTTCAGTACACGTGAACTAGAGGAGGTAAGTACATCCGAGCGTTCTTGCGAGAGTGGAGAGTTGTCTTGCACACGTGATCCCGGTGGCACAATTCGCAGATCGACGTTAGGTCTCGGGTTCGGTGTACCACGGGAGCTTGAACTTTGTGATGGTTGCGAGTCAGACGAATATTCCTCTGTGTCGTAATCTCGAATATCTATAACCGATTGGGGCGGATTGCTTGTATCATGATGGTGAGCCATCAGGAATATCTCGCTTTCGTAAAGTCAGTTGTAAGTTTTTTGGGGGGGGGGAGGGGGGAAAGTATTATGTACACCGACAAAGTCGTTGAAAGAGATTTGAGAAATAGGCGAGAGGACTTATACTTGATGAAGAAGACGATATATCCTAATGAAATAAATTGAAAGATTGATTACTTGAAGGTTGAACCTAACAGAACATTGTTTAAATCGTGATTCATTTATTCCACACAGATTTATTGAGAACCAACTTTATATTTTCTGCTGACTCAAAAAAGGAAGAGACGTGAACAAGAGAGCTGGAATTGAGCATGAAACGAGGAATAACAAAATAATTATTCTAAGGGCAACGAGTGGCATCACGATAGATTCGTCACGGAGGGAGGAATGATAATCATTCATTACAGAAGGGGGACAGATGCAGTATGTTAGAGACGGGAGGAACCACAAAGTAAGGAGCATCGAATAATCGTAATGCTTTGTAAATTATTCCATCAATAGATAAATTCAAAGGATCTTTGTTCAAATACATCAGAAGTCGAAGGGATTGATTGAAAATGTACGAGTCAGTTATTTCTAAAAATGATGATGACAATTACCTGTTAACTAATAGGAACATGTGTCTAGTCCTTTTAAAGTACGTACATGCGCATATAATTTCAATTTCCGGTAAAAAAAATTTTCTCATTAAGAAACATAAATTTCTTGAGGAATAAAGGGAAGACTCAGAATGTTTTATATAGAGAGACGACCTTATCGATATTATCCATAGACCCTTATTAATAACGCCATTGTCCAAGAATGCATCGTTTAACAGAAGGGATTTCGATTCATGCACTGTCTCGTCTATTTTTGGATAAATGAGAAAAAAAGTTTAAGAAGGAGGGAATTTGAAATAAGGAAAAAAAAATTTTTTTTATCGTAATTTAAGACCGAGAGTGCAAGGTGTTACGTTGTACGTAGTATAGATTATCTTCTGCCAAATTCGAAGGGCTATCGAAGATTTCGGTTTGACTTGTACACCTCGAGAGAAACATAATGGCTGAACTAACAACAATAGAATTCGTTTATTAAGCGAGTTTCCTTTTAGACACTCATTGATAAGACAGTTTCTCGCACCGAGTTATTTATAAAATGCTGTATAAAGATAGATATCGTCATCGAATAAGGAACGAAGCCTCTTACTTCAAATATGTAAATTCCCGTTGCCGTTTAAGTAAAAAACCAAATATATATCTATATATACTTTTTTTACTAACATTTACCCTAGGTATTACTCTATGGAACATTTGGGACCTTTCAAATACCTCAAACAGACCGCACACACAGCACACAACACATTGCAGAGTGACCTATAATAGTTTCAGAAATATGTATACGGTAATGCACATTCACTAATCTTTTCCGTGTAAGTTTATTTTTATCACTTCGTATCACCTCCAGATAAGAACGTTTAAAGGTGCATATCATGTAGTCAATACAATTTCTTCTCAATGGGAAACGAGTGAGAATTAATCTCTTTTGGTACATAGGAAAAGAAACATGTGAGTCTATTCGTATCAATCGTAAACTTTAAGGATTCAAAACAATTAGGACTTATCTAACCAAAACGGGATACGTATAAATCGGAGTATCCAACCCATCGCCCCTTCGTAATTCCAAGCAGCCAACAAAACTGCATAAGAGACCATCAACTAGATATGCAATGATTTAGTAAATCATTCGCGTATAGGCTCCGTAAGATTCGTAGATTACGTATGTCAACCTCAAGACACAATCTGTGTACGTTACGCTGTCTGCCGTTCGTGGATCACTCACCAAACGACTTGTGAAACTTTTAAAATGCAAATAACGCATGCGATATTTAGATAAAGTAATGCCATCGATTCTATCGGTTCTTTGCGTGCTTATTTGGCTATTTTCGACCACAAAAATTCAATGAAGCATTTATTCTGACAACGATCTCCGAACGATTCGTTTCGGCCGCTCGATTCACTTAATTGAAACCAACATTCAGTAGAGCAACCAATTGACAATCGTTCAACCGTGTATGCATGCAAATCCCTGAGACAACGATTATTGGAATTGGTTATGTCCCAGGTTTTTTTTTTCTTTGTGTCTAACCATTATACTGTAATACGTGTACGTACTGTAAAAAATAGCAATGCACACACGTGTTTTTGCGAATAAAATATAATCTCGTTTCATTACTTCACTGTTTAGGAATTACGTAAATACGCCTGCTAAAAACAAATGAGATGATATTGTGTATTAATCAACCGATACATTTGGGAAATTCCGTGTAAACACGTAATCAGGAGTCATTTTTTTTCTTGGATATACAGTGTCCTAATTTTGAGTATGATTTTGAAACAAAAACTGCAATTGCGATACCACGCGGTGGAACGATAAACATTCATAATCTTAAAAATGATTTTTATCGTCGCCCCAACATATATCGAGTATAATTAACACTATCTAAAGTTAAAAACGTTAATTAAAGCAAACTATAGTCGTTATATCGCAACACTCAATCTCGATGTCGTTGCTTTCAAGCACAAACTATATTTAGATAATTGAATAATGTGCATTAAAGGTTTACGTAATTATTACGTCTTTTTTGCAGTGGTACAAAATTTGATGGTTTTTTTTAAAAAAAAAATTTCAAATCCATAATCGCATCATTTCTAATGGTTTTAGACAAGACAATTATTAAATAGTTAACTTTATCGCCAATACATATTTACCTAGAGGATTCTTATAATTATTAAATTTCTTTTAATAAACGATGATTTTATCAAATATTTATATTTTATATTTTCATTTGTTTATCAATTTGTTTATTTGTTTGTCCGATGTTTAATCAAATCTTGATTATTCATGAATTATCGATATTTTTTTTCAAAAAAAAAGATTTTTTGTCGCATCACCATCATCAATTAATTAATTAATTAATGATTTATTTATTTTAGAATTAATGAAAAATTACTTGATTTATGTGAAATTACTTATATACGATAAATTATAAATAAAACAAAATCCCTTATATAAATACAATGTTAAATATTAACTTGCTTGCAGTAATCAAATCATCCATAGTAAAAAAATTTTAATCAATATATATTCACATATAATATCAAACAGATATGAAAACTTATTTAACATTTGAAAATAAAAATAAAAATACTGTATATAAGAAATAATTTGTATGCATTAAAATAATTTTAATTATGATAAATGAATATACTGATGATTATAAAAAGTGAATCCATAGAAATAACTTGTTAATTAATATGGTTTAAAATTAATTTTTATTTTAACCTTGTTATTAAACTTATAATAATATCTTGATTTATTTAATTCCAATAAATATAAAAACATACTACTTAATATAAAATATATAATTAATATTTTATAAGAGAAAAAATATTTTGTACTAATACTGTATATATATTATATGTTAATAATTTTTTCTATAATTATTTTACTTATAATAGAAATATTTTACTTTTATTTATATTAGTTAGATTTTGATTACCTTTTTTTTTTAGCAATAATATTATTGCTTGTAAATTACAACTATAATAATAATAATAATAACAAGTTATTGTAATTAATAAAAAATAATATTATAGTTAAAATATAAATAAGTTAAATAATTGGAGGTCTGCTTTAATTTCATATTATATTGTTACAGTGTATAATATACAGTATCTTAAATAAAGATTTATTAGAACCTGCATAGGATACAAATCAATCTGATAATAATAATTGTTGTATATAGTTTCAAAAATTAAAATTGAACATGTATATATAAACTCATATAAGATTCAAAACACTATTAAAAATAATAATAAATTATAATCCACATACTCAATTTAATATAAACTTAAAAATTAAAAATTAAATCAAATCATTAGAATTTTTAAATATTAATATTTTTATTATATAAATTGATTATAGATAAATTTGAATATATATGACTTTATTATTAAAAAAATAAAATAATTTGATTGATTATTATTTATATATAAATATTTTGACAAAATTAAACTGAATATTATTTTTTAAATTTATTGAAAAAATAAAAAAAAATAGTAATAGTAAAATATAATATTAGTAATAATAAAGAAAAACAAAAAATTTTTATTAAGATTATATTAAAACAAACATTAAATCCAATAATTTTGTTTGAATATTTATTTAAAATATATTTGTAATATAAAAAAAAAACAATTATAATAATTATATAAAAAAAAAAATATTAAAAATTATATATAATAATTTTTTATAATCTTATGAATTTGAGTCTTAGACTTTT